AGTGCATCCCCGATCATTATCTTTGTCCGACAAAGGGGCTGATCCTATCACTATGATCACCCACTCAGATGAATTCTCAAACTGTCCCAACATACCTAGGTTTTGACCCCCGCTAAGGATTTCACTAATTGATACATCAAAGATAGCCCAATCCGACACTTAGTGCAGTATCATAATCGAGTCTAGGGGTCGGGTGTAACTTTCCAGGTTTGCCCATTAATCTCCAAGGTCCAGGGCAATACTGAAAATCTGGTATAGATCAAAGATTCAATCAATTCTACACTGCATGTGCTTAGGGTCTCAACCTGCTAGCTGAGACAGGCCACCCCAACCGACTTGGTGGCACATCAATATCAGTTTTATCAAGATAGGTCTCCCCAGACCGACCCACCGGCTATGACCATTCTAAACTAACACGAGTCTCATTAAGCGTCCAGTTTAAGGGTATTACACAGAAACATACTAAGGGAACATGAATCAAATATGTAATTTTATTCATTTACAATAAACTCATAATGAACATCATTCTGATTGAAACTAAGGACATACAAAACTGTCTAACATTTAGCCTGTAATCAAGGTTCAAATAATATAGGGCGCATTACCCTGCATCGATACTTTTTTTTTCTTCAAATCTAGTTTAGAGGGGCCGGTCTAAAGTCAATCTACCCCTTGAACCACTCACCAACCCAAAACACCCCTTATAGGGGCATATCGGAGAGCTTCGATACGATATATATCAACTAATATGAGCCGATACGTGACGATATTTTAAACTCTCTGTAATCAATTAACTCCCCAAACCAAAAAACAAGTGAAGAGGTGAGGAGAGAGAATGAAAAAGAAAAATTCCAAAGGGTACTTTAGAAATTTGAAAAAAAAAATTGATCACTTTAGACAATTGTTAGAAACATTAGGGTTACTTTAAGAAATACTAAAACAATAGAGACAGAGTTAGTCAATTTCTTAAACCTTAGGATCGTTTAAGAAACAACATAGCCGGTTCAGCCGCTATCAACCGCCCCTTAACCTCACGGTACTGCAGCACAAATAACAACCATTTTTTAACAACGGTTGGCCTGCTCTATTGCAACCAAGGTGACCAAGGTCCAAATCTTCCAAACAACTTCTCTATTTCTGCACGGGTAAAGCTGCATTGGGGAGTGCTGATGGGCTGCCCTTTATATAACTAGTAAATATTAGATGGGTTGGTACGGTTCTTAACCAAGTAATATGCTGAATATACTTCAAAAGAAACGTAATATGCTGAACAATATTTGTATCCGTTGATTAAATTAATGAAAAATTAAAAAAAAATCAAAAAACAAGGTTACATCCATCATGTCAATATGCTTCCCAAGAAAATTGAGAAGGGAAGACCTAAACAGGCCTAAGATCCAATCAATTAGTCCACAGCCATAACAAAACCTAGAAAAAGAATACATCTGTGGAACTGTTTATTTCCTGATTCCTATCAAACACCACCAAAATCCAAATAGATAGACAATCCCATCGGTAGTACCACCTTAAACACAAATTAAGGGACCATTCAATGCTTGAGAGCCAGGGTCAATCCAAACTTGGGATTTTTTTCCAAAGCTTTGGTGTCAAATTCACCGGATATTGTCAAGACTGACTTGGGTTTAAGCTCATGTTGAAGGAGGGCTCCAAGTTTCCCATGGTTGTTGAGTCTTGCCTTCACTATTGTCAGTGGATCAACAGCATATAATCCCCCAACTGTAAAAGTATTCTCGTTTGTGGAGAACCTTCTGGTTATCTCTGCAACTCCAGCACTCCTCTTCAGCAGATCCAGATGGTGAATATATGATGCTCTAAGTGTATCTCCTTTGTCAGCTCTAATAGAAGATGGAGAGAGGAACCAAGGATTAGAAGACAATTATAGTTTCTCCGTTTATATTAAGTGGGATATGGTATGCTCAGCATAGTAAATTTTACATTCATGTCATATACATACAACATGGATAGTGTTTCAGATAAGGAATGGGGCTCAAGCAGCCTAGTGTAAATGTCCTAGCATCGACCATGTCAACAAATTTTGGCATTTAGAAAGCCAGGACCAACTTTCCACATTTTCACCAAATGCTTCTATATTGCTTTCTGCACCTTGAGATCTATGAAAACTGGAAGCAGCTTTGGGACCCCTCCCAAATGGATACTTAAGACTAAAATCCAATTACTCAACAGACATGGCACCAATTTTCAAGTGTTGAAGTAACAAAGACTTACAGAATTATTGTAGCACTAGACTCTGGCTTTGTCACACTAATGCCAGCATTATACTTGGTAAAACTACCCAATTTAGTCTCATAGCCTGCCTCCACACCAAAAGCAAAGCCTGAGGTTCCTATGGTTGCTGAAAGATCAACAGTAGGGGACTTGTTCAAAGCAAAAGCTGTGCTGAAAGCAGCATGGTCATGGAAGTACTGCACTTCCAGCTGCAACATAAATAACAAAGTATATTTCAGGAAAAGAGTTTACAGTCACGACTTGCATTCTGAAATTGTGCCAGCTTGAGACAATGAATTCAGTACCTTCCCAGAATTGTAATCAGGTAGTTTCAATGTAGCAATTGTTTTAGTGGATGGGAGAAGTTCTGTCAAAGTGAAAGTTGTTGAGATCTGCACAGATGAATGCATAAGCAAAACATGATAATAAAATGTGTTCATGTAAGTGAGAGAGAGAGAAAGAGTAGATGAATTGCAAAGACAATCCACCTGATTATCTGTATCAACTTTGACATCGATGACAGTGTTCCTGTATTTCCACTGGGCTGCAACATCACCAGATGTTAATCCTCCCTTCCTCACAGCAGTTGAAGTGAGGGCCTGAATGTAAAACAGAACTCAGCAGTCACTCCCAATTGAAACAGAGATGCACAAGGCAACTGACAACTGAAATTTTAAAACAATATATGAAAACAAGAAGAAGTAATATTTGCTAGGGTTGTTAGTGAGCTAAAAAGGGGGAATTTAATTGTTATGACCATGCTAAAAATCTGTCATTTCAAATTAGCAAATAACTACTTAAATGAGTAATAAACAGAAATATATTAGGAAAACATAGCAAAAATACATAATGTAAATGAAGAAAGATCAACAAAGTCAAAAAGAACAACTTCAATGGATAAGAAACTCTGCCCCTAATCCATTCATACATGTTGAACTTACCAAGCTCCATGGTCACCTATTGGCTGGCTCCAATATTTTGTCCATTAATTACCACAACAAACAACACATGGAAAAAAAAGAAGATTTCGCAGAGTCCAATATATATCTATATCAATATCAATATATATATATATATACACACGCACACACACACATACCCTTAGAGAGTTTGAGTATGACATCCATTTTTTACCATTAAATGACAGAAAAGACTTTATTATATATATATATATATATATATATATATATACACACACACACACACACACCCTTAGAGAGTTTGAGTATCACATCCATTTTTTACCATTAAATGACAGAAAAGACTTTATTAACAAGAAAGAAAAAGATACAAGTAGGATAGTGCACTTACACCTCAAATGAAGAGAAAAATAAACAAAAAACAAAGGATATCCCCTCAGCTACCTTTTGCACATTACAAGTTACAAACACTTTCCCCAGGGAATTAGCACCATAGTTCAGTACATTTCTATTAACATCTTCTCTAGCCAATGTTTTTGCCGATTATTACATGCAGTTCTAGTAAATAAATGCATGAATTAGATATGGATATATAGGAGCACCTATCAAATCTCATGGATAAATGAACAAACTGTAATAGGTTTTAGCATTTACTTTGAGAAAGATGTCGTATTGAATTGTATGTGCATAATCATATGCAATATTCTGTGGTTCATTCATGACCTTATATATTATTGATCAGAAAAATGTTACACAGGATTTATAAAAAAGTTTAGCATAGCTATAATATATTTTAAATAAAATTAATAATAATGAGTAGACTGGTCAGAGGCCTTAAAATCCATTGGAGATCCTGTTAATGCGGTACATGTTTCTATGGACAAAGATGTTCTTCTTAAGCATAAAGCAGTATATGATATACCAATATTCATCCCATCAAGGTTCATAATATGCACAATAACAGTATCTTAGTGCTGCTATGAATTTGTCTATTAAAAACAAGATGAATCAAACCGAGATGTGGAAGAATAATCTAATTGCAACATAAGAAACATAAGCCCACTCCCCAATAAGTGCCCATGACTTCACAGGCACTGTTTCTAGGACAGTCTAACTACATTAAATTGAAAGTACGAGTCATGATAATAAGAGAAAATAGTGTGAGCAAAAGATATCTAAGTTATCACGGAGATGGAGGATAAGGTGCAGGCTATCCATTTCCGAGTTTTGTTGCACTAACCTCCTACACTAAGTTGAGTTTCCCAACAAATGACTATTTAATTTATGTTATTCTCTGGTGAACAATGTCCTGTATGATGTGTTTATTCTCTTACCAAAGAAACGTAGGGCTATACGCGATGCTCTTACCTACCAAATCGATTACAAATTCTTACGACTCATAAAAAAAAGGAAAGCGACAAACTTCACAATATAATAAATAAATGACAGAAAATAAAAGCAACAAAGACAAAGGAACTATATAGACGAATTAAACGCAGTAAAGACTAGTGAAATGGGGAATCTCCACATAACTTCATTTGGTTCCTCGAAATTATAATACACATTCAACGCAATTTATTGAATCAGGCGCTACACACATTCACTAAGATCACCTTAATCGAGAAAAACCTAAATGAAGCATCGAAAGCAGTGGTATATGCAAAAATAAGAAACGAATAATAGATCAGATAGTAATGAGTTCTTACAACTCCAGCATCGCTATAAGTCGAGATGGTGAATTTCTGATCAGAACTGTAGTCCTTAGTTAAGAGATCTGAAAAACCAAGAGAGGGATCAAAGAATAAACAAAGTTGTCAAATAGAAATTCAAGGAAACGATTTGGGATAAGAGAGAGACGGCTCCACGGGTTCTCGATTTCTCTTACCTTTGGCCTTCTTTCCGATGTCAGAGAAGAGCCCCGGTCCCTTGCTCATGCTTTCAGGTTAGAGAGAGAGAGAGAGATTCTCTGAAGTCTGAAACCCCGGCAGGCGACCGAACAGGATGGCTCAACTGCAAAAAAATGAAAACAAGGGTTTGTTCTGCTGCCACGAAAAGACCAATTTTTCATACCTGTTGAAGTCCAATTGCTCAAAAAATAAAATAAAATAAAATAAAAAGTTCAATTACCAATTATACCCTCTCAAAGAATTAAATAGTGCATCTCATCTTACGATAATGGAGAGAGTGGGCGAATAATAAAAGGGAAAGCATATGCGGACCCAACTTTCTCCTTCAAAGGCTGATGCTTTCTTTTCTTTTCTATCTATCTAGTGGTTGTGAGGACTTCCGGACAGGGGACATCAAAAGTTGGTTTTTGTTTGTACTTTATATGAAGCAAACGGATCGAAGAGTGAGAGCAAAGATACCGTTAAGAACTTACTTGTCCACGTTGTGCCCGACGATAGATCACCGGTCACATTAGCATACAGGCTTTGCGTTACCTTCCTTTGGTGGGCTTAGGTCGAGTATGATTTTTTAGAAACGTGATGTTTACTACCGGGTGGATCTCAAAAGTTTAACGTGCTGGGGTGGTCGATTTTTTTGGGTGCCTTGCACATCTAAACCAACATTCTCTTACAAGACAGCCTTAGTTAATGGTTAGCAGCATGATTATCACGGTTTCTTACATGACCCTTTATCATGCCAACCCTGTGTCTAAGTTAATCGAATTACCTCGTTGCCTATAGCAAATGGGTGTGTTCTCAGACTCAGTGGTTGCCTAGCACAACATGTGCATCACATCATGGTGATCCCCCTTTGGCACGTAAGAGGCGTCTTCCATGGACCGGCAAGAGCCATAGAGAGCCCCGGCCATATATCACGAGGTCATGGTATAGTGCCATTGACCTTGGTGGAGCCATTCATCGGGCTGGCACATGGCCCTTATGTACACATCAGGCTTGTCCTGGCCGTCCATGGCCCAGATGCCACACGGGTTTCTTCTGTTGTAGACTTGACCCCGTGACAATTGGTATCAGAGCAAACAATAGAACCAACCTAGAACGGTCATTACAACAAGCAGCACATCGTGGGGTGTGGTCTCTTGGCACGCACACTCAACAGGGTTTAAGCAAGCAAAACACATTAGGCCTAGCAAGAGGCCATACATCGCGTCCCCATTCCAATGACCCTGAAGCAACGCTCACGGGGGGACAGCGCATGGGCTATGGATGGTGTGCCTATATCTTGGTTTCATGATGGATGAACCATTGTTTTGTAGCTTGTTAGAGGCACTACTAAGACGAAGATAACAGTTCGAAATTGGTTGGTGTCAATGGTTAGTCAAGGAATATCACTGAGGTAGTAGCTTTGCATAAAAAAATGGTCATCGGTTGAAGCTACAATATTTGAAATGTTAGGAATGTGGGTACACTTGCCATTGGAGCATGGCGGCACAGCCCCGGTACAACATTAAAGAACATGCTCAGCTCACACAAGCGGAATATTCGTAGTAGCAATCACACATCATACAGGCGAGTGCATGTTCAACAACATCATGAGTAAAAATTGCCACACTCGCACAGAATGCGGTCGGATCCTTGAGGCAAAACATATTGGGGCCCCCTCGAAGCGAAGATGTAGCCCGAACTGGTTAGGTGAAGAGTAGTTTCGAGGGCCAAAAGTGCATAATTCATGACTAGGTTTGAGTAACCTGAACACAACAAGGTGAAGTCCGCAAGCCAACACGGTGAAAGGGTTTCCCAGGACACTACGCCAATAGTAGGAGAAGACCTATCACATCCTGTTCAGTAGCACCACCGAAAAGCTACCAAGAAGACGATCGATCCTTGAGGAAAAGAGAACATAGGGCGGATCTCCGCAAAGCATCTCACACACATCATATTCAAGGGCCATACACACATACACAGAGGGCATAACCATTGCGCATGGTGAAATGGTTTTGTCCCCATAAATGAACACCAACATAGGCGAGACTTGGGTTGACTAGGCGGCCCTAAACTAGAGCACACGTGGATGTGTGGGGCACAAACACCCATTCACAAAGGAGCCATTGTTGAGACGACAACGGATTGAGTGGGGGAGCCTGTCATGGTCTGCCACAGGCTTAGCCTTACCTATACTTGGTGGGCTTATGTTGAGTGGCACTATCGTAAATATTGCTAGTATGATTTTTCAAAAAAGTGATATTTCCTATTGGCGGACCTCCAAAAGCTTAATTTACTTTTTGAAGAGGGGTGGTCTACCTCCTTAGGTGCCTAACCTTGGCACTGCTAGACCAACATTCCCTTGTGGGGCGGCCCTAGTTAATGGTTAGCATGGCTACCAGGGTTCCTCATGGGCACACACACGCTCATGGGGATAGTGCATGGACCGACATTGTGCAACGCACACTGAAGGGAGGCTTTGCATGTGGGCTTGGCCCAAGCATGACTCTTCACCACACTAGCCCGTGTCTAAGCTAATCAAGCTACCCTGTTGCCCATAGCGCATAGGTGTGTTCTTAGGCTTAACGATTGCATAGCACATCATCGACACAACTTGTACCTCACATCATGGTGACCCCCCTTTGGTACGTAAGAGGCGCCTCCCATGGACCAGCAAGAGCCATAGAGAGCCCCAACCATGTGTCGTAAGGTCATGATCCAAGAGCTTGGTGTGATTTGAACTAAGAACCTTGGTCACCCAACAATCAAAAGTATATGTCTTTTTAACCACCATGCCACTTTCTACTTTTTAATAATAAATGAAATACATTAACCTTTATCAACATTAATGTCTACATGCAATCCAAATAAACAACATATGCTAATATTCAACAACTCCAACTACAAATTAAAGAGAATAATTTTCAAAATTAGTATTTTATAAACCAATGGAATAAATGATTTATCAAATCTACATATATATCAAAAATAATTTTTAATTTCAAGAAATTTATACAAATAAAATATTAAAGTAGCATAATTATTTTAATACTTAAAATTTATAAACTTCTACATTATATGCATATTCAAATTTTTGTAAATTATTAATTAGTATTTTAATTTGCATTAAATAACAATGTATTTATTATTTACAAAAATAAAAATATTATCCACAAAATATTTGAGGTAACATAAATTGAACTGATCAAATCCACTAATTTACATTTATATAAAAATAATTTTGTATTCTATAAAATTTATAAAATAAAAATATTAATGATGGAATAATTATCTTAGTAATTAAAATTTATGAATTTTCATATGATATGTATTTTCAAAATTTTAATAGATTTGATATATTCTAAGTTAAGATTATATATTTTTATAAATTATTAATTAATATTTTACTTTACGTTTTATAATAACATATTTATTTTTTAAGAAATGAAAATATTGTTTACCAAACATTTGAGAATTAATTTTTTAGTTGATTTTTTTTGTTAATGTTAAAAATTAAAAATAGAAAAATAGAAAAATTTATATAATAATTCAAATAGAATAGTTGCATATGTTGTGTGCCTTGGATTTAATAGAAAATAAAATAATAATGGCTTTGTGCATGTATTAATTTCTAAAATCTATATAATATGTGTCTTAGATTCTTGATTGATGCATTATCAATAAAATTGCATAATATCTATCCATCCCGCTTTATTAGTTGTAATATAGTTCTTCATATATACCATTAAAATATACGGCTCCTATGTATTTATATATTATTTATAGTTATTTTGACATTAAACTTAATATTATTAAAATATTTATGGAATTCCTATGCATTTCCCTAGCTTATCCAAAATGTTTCCATATTTTTCATCCGTATCCATACGTTTCACAAGCGTATCCGTACCCAAATTGTTCGACACGATAACCAATACTGATACTTTGATCCTTGAATCTTGGTGCCTATTTGGGGGAGTTTTCACGTATCTGTTAATACATTGGCTTTCTCGTGAAGTGAGTTTTAGTAGATTCTTCAATGCGGCTTAATAAAAGGAGTATGCCCAAATACACTTTTAGACTGCATTTGTCATTCCTTATTTTAAGGACTTATCTCCTTTTTGTAGTTAAAATTCCCATATGAATACTAAGTTTTTAACTGCAAAAAAGGAGAAAAATCCTTAAAATAAGGAATGACAAATGCAGCATTAATCAGCTAATAAATTTGCTTTGCGATGAAGCTAGTCTTAGCACCTTCTCATGGCTTAGTCAATGCCATCCAATCAAAGCTGAAGCCCTCTCAAATGGGCTATTGGCTACGAATGGATAGACTATTTTTGGCTCACTCTGGAAGGAGTATATATACAAATGTATAGAGTGCAAAACCTTATATTTTGTATTCATTTGTGTTGTGCATATTTGTATTTTTACTCTTTCCAAATTGAGCCTTTGGAAAAAAAGGAAATGTGCCATCTAGGTTGAGATTTGTTACATTGGTGTAAATGCATGGGAATCAAATAGGCTGAGTGTAAATTTCGGCTTACTTTTGCTTCAAACTTGACATTGTGTTGTTTGTTTGTGAAAGTAAAATAACTATGGTCCCACCTTATATGAAAGAGAATGGAGATAGGAAGAGGTTTATTTGTTTAAAATGAAGTAGTAAGCAAGATGATGTGGTCTCCACTTTGTATGAGAGTGTGAGGAAAGGGGTTCAATTTTTGCATCAATTTTTTAGATACAAAATTTACACTATTAATGATTGGAAATGAGACAAAAGTACACATTTTATATCAAATAGAAGTGCAAATCATGACTACAAGTAAATAAATGCAAAACTGAACCAGGTGCCAAATTTGCATCTGATTCAAATTTGTACTCCAACCAAACACAGCCCAAGAACAAATTGGAGCTTCCATTCTTTAACTCCAATGCTACATTTGGTTTAATAGAAAAATAAAAGAGTAAGTCAAAGTAAACAAAAAGATCTCAACAAATTTTATGAAATTCCTTAAAGAACATTTCTTCAAATTTATGTTTCTCTTATTTCCCATCAAACCAAATACGGCCCAAAACCGGAGATGTCAGTTTCGTAGTATTTCAATTCCACAAAAAAGAAAAAGAAAATCCATTTTGAATGCTACAAAACCAAACTGGATGTAAATTGGTAGGAATCCCTATTGAAAGACTGCCCCCCCCCCAAAAAAAAAAAAAAAAAAACACTAAGGGGATGTTCTTTTTTCGGATTTGGAGAGGGGGGAAAGTTGATCAATGGGATTTTGGTTTCCATTGATCAAGAATTCCATGTTCTTTTTTCAGCTTTATGTGGGGATCAGGGAAAGTTTATTTTCTTGGATATCACTTAACCAGGAAAGTGATACCCATCTCCTAGGTGGCTAAATAACTTTCCCATATAGGGGGAAAGTTGCCAACGGGACAAAAATGTCATTTTTAATAATGGATTTCTATGGCTAAAATGATCATTATCTTATTTACCTAGGAAATAAAAGAGCATAGCTAAATGCACTTGCTTACCCAGGTAAGTAACTTACCGAAAAGCGAACGAGGCCTAAAAAAGACACAAACAAAAACAAGACCAGAATGAAAGACTCAACTAGTGAGTAATGTTCAAAGTATCGGAAATGCCAAGTGTATCAGAAAGGCAATTTTAAGATACGTATTGGGATACGCCTTGGATATGCATGCGTATCGGAGAAAAACTAAGATACGCATAGATACACTTGACAACACTATAAATAATTTAATAAATCATAAAAATACATCAACAACACTAAATATAAGACCTCAATGAGGTGTATATACATTAAATTAATTGATTTTAATGGTTTTATGAAGAAATATATTATAGCTAATTATAATTTCATTAAAAATCTTATGCTTAACTATAATTTATAAATTATAATTCTTAAGTTTTAATGTTTTATGGGATGAGAAAAACCCAACTCTCCTATCCAACCATAAAGCATGCATTAGAACAACTTCTATGTGAAAATATAATTAATAATTATTTATTGTTTAAATAATTATTATTTATTTTCAAAAATTATAAAAATAATATAAACATTATATAATAATTCAAAAAATAGTTATTAAAGAAGAAATTTCAATTGTGGATATGATAGATCATCCATAGAATTATAATATATTCAACCATTATGGTCAAATGATAAAATATAATTAATTAATTAATTATTTTTTAATTCTAAAGAAAATAAAAAATAATTATTAAGAAATTTCAATTGTTCTATGGATATGATAGATTATCCATAGAATTATAATATATCCAATTGTTATGATCAAATGATAAAATATAATTAATTATTATTTATTTTTTTAATTCTAAAAATATAAAATATAAAAAATATATATATTAAAGAAGAAATTTCAATTGATCTATGGATATGATAGATATATCCATAGATCTATTAGTTTTTATAGGTAGAGAAAAACTTACATTTTCAATTTTTTTGTTAATTTATATTGTCCCCAAATATCTTCATAAATTTCCATAAATCTACTTATAGCACAAAAAAATTATGATTTTGAATGTAAGAAATGTTGATCAACATAAATTTAAATATTCAAGAAAAAAAAGAAATCACAAGATATTATAAAAGATTGAAAAAATTTATCTATTTTTTCCATATTTTTTCAAAATTTGAAAAATCTATAAAAAAATTTACAATTCGCACTTGTTTCTTGCAAAATTTTGCAAATCTAGCATTCTAGGAATGAGGTATGGAGTTTTAGAGTCATTTAGGGGTGAAAGAATGCTTATTTCGGGGAAAGGTGGCTTGCTTCCCCCTTTAATTTTTTTTTTAGTTTTTGGCCATATCTTTCTCGTCGATACGCTACCGATACGCTTCGATACACCCTCGATACGCCCCGATACACCCCTGATACGCCCCCGATACGCCCCGATACACCCCGATATATATTAAGAAAGACAAAACGTCTGATTTTCATGCGTATCCTGTATCGATTTTTAAAAAATACGATACGATATGTCCCGTATTGTATCAAAATTTTAAACCTTGCTAGTGAGCTGTTACAAGCATCAGAGATGAGAAACGCTAGAAAGCCAACCCTGGGCTTGATCATCAAACAGGATTGAATTGATCAAGCCACGATTCGCAGTAGTGTGGGCAGCCTGGTTTCCTTCTCTTTTCCAATAAACTCAAAACAAATTTTGAGTTTACGAGCGAATCACTAGAAAATTACTTTTTCAATTGCTAGCTTTTCTGAAGATAAAAAAAAAAAGCATCAAAGACTTATAGTCCCCATCAACAATTGCATTCCAAGGGTTTTCGCCAATGCCTTAATTTTAAGAAAGTCTAAACATTTTAAGGTTTTCTCCAATTGCCTTAAGCACTTGCTACCCTCTAATGCACTATAGCAAAATTGAGAAATAGCGGCAGTTTATAAAGTGGCTAAAAATAATATTCTATAGTGGCAGTCGTTTAAAATTGCCACTATAGGATACATCGATTGCCGCTAAAAGTCGTGGTACAAATTAGGGCTTTTTTTACCTCCTTTTTTTACTGTTCTCATTCTCTCTCACATGATCTCTCTCGCAATCAATGCTGATCTCTCACCACCGGACGACATTCAAGGATATCGGCATCAATAGGTAATCTCGCTCTCTCTCCCTCTCTCACATTCTCTTCCCGCTCTCTTTCAATCTTTTTCTCTCGCGCGATCTCTATCTCATAGTCGATGTCGATCTCTCACCACCAGACGACATCCAAGGGCACCAACATCAATATCAATCTCTCTCTCTCTCTCTCTCTCTCTCTCTCTCTCTCTCTCTCCCTCCCTCCCTCTCGCTTTTCTATTGTCCATGACTATTTGAATTTGTATCATCTTTCCACTGGATAGCACTAATCTGCGACGTCAACGTTAGCGCTTGATTCAGTCTCTTCACTATAGTATTGAACCAACATCTCGAAGGCTACATTAGAGGTAAAGTTGACATTATTCAAATCCTTTTTGAATCATAATTTATAAGTTTCTGCTTCTTAGATAAATTTCGTTCGTTGATAAAATATGTAGTTCTTATCCCTTCATATGAATGCAAATCTATGAAACACAAACAAATTAGTAATGGAAATAAATTAAAAAAATCACATTAACTACTTTTCAATTTCTACCACTAGCATGCTTGTGTTTCATTAGGGGGTTACAAGGGAGTGTAAATTGTTACACTGGCTGCAGCAGATGTGAATTCGTCCTAGGCCTAACCATCTAGGCCTGGTTACAGCCCATGGATGGGCATCCCTCTAGAGTCTGGCCTTGACATTTTTTTTTCTTTTAGTCCATGTGGGCTACACAATGGGGTGGCCTGTCTGCCATACCCATAGCCCCATACCCCTCATTCTGGCATGGTGGCAGTGGGGCTAGCTTATACTAAAACCAACCAAATAACTTATCAACTAAGCCACCATTAATTGGTTTAAAGTTTGAAGGTGCCAGTTAGGCTACTAGTAAAGTCTTATTATAGCAGAGACTTGGGATCTAGTCATGCCTTTGAAGGGCTACCCTAGTTTGTTACTCAAAAAAGTCAAATGCTACAGTACAATGTTAAAATTCTTGTTGTCATAGCTAGTGGTGGATTCAATCCGAGCTGAGTTGAATATCCAACTATTCGAGCTCAGCTCGCCAATAAAGTATGAGGCTCGAACTCAATTTGAGCTAGAGACTTGAGCTTGAGTTTGGCTTGAGTCAAAAGCTCGTAAGCTTGAGCTCAACAGCGGGCCAAATGTTCTATAAAAATAAAAAAATTATACATATAAAAATATTTTTTTTATTTGACATATAGAATATTAAGAATTATAAAAACTAGTTATTATTATTATTATATAAAAGATAAGAATATTATATATATACCATTTTTATTTTTTATTTATATTTATATATTATTTTCTATATGTATAATACTTTTGTATTTATATTTTTATATGTAAAACCAAGCTAAATCGAGCTTTTCACGAGCCGAGCTTGAATAGCTCGTGAAAAGCTCGGCTCATGGCCACCCCTAGTCATAGCAACTAAGTTAAACTGGAGAAGACTGGTCTCATTTTTGGTTCAATATATCTTGTTGATAAACTCCCAATCTCCCACTATGGTAGGTACATGAACATATTAGGCCATATTTGTTTTTCAAAAATAGGATGGGGGAAGTTGGTTAGTGGGAAAGTGGTTCCCATTGACCAACTTTCCTATGTTCTTTTTTCAGTAAGTTGTGGGCCTTATGATAAAGTTATTTTTTCTACGTATCATTTTCTCGGGTAAGTGATATCCATCTCTCAGGTGGATAAATAACTTTCCTATTAGGAAGGTTTAAGTCATTGTATAACTTATTTGGGGATCAAAAGAACATGGATAAGTAAAATTACCCATATATTTGTTTCCAAGGAAACATTTTCCTAGGTAAATACATTTACTCGAATAAGTGGCATCTTGAAAAACAAATGGGTGCTTAGAGGGGCTGTTTGAAACTAAAAAGTTGATAACATCTAAAGATGTTGAACTGAAAAACTTATTTCTTTATTTTTTAATGAATAATTTTTTAGGAGGTTCTGGACTTCTTTAATGACTGAAAGTGAAAGTGGGTATTTATCAGAAAAAGTTGGGTAAATTATTATACATTTGGAAATTTATTTGTTTTTGGTCAATTGCAAAGACCCCTTTGTACTATGGGGTCAATGATAAGGACCCCCTTGAACTTTCTCTTTATGATAAATACCCTTAGCTGCTAAGTCAGATGACAAAATGCATTGAATTACCAAAATTCCCACTTGAACTTATTTTTCTTGCCCATTCCTCTTACACCCTAATTGATAAAAAATACCTCTATTTTCTTCAAATGAAACCAATTAAAATAACAAGAATTATTTCAATGGCATAGAAAAAAGTTTTTTTATTCTTGATTTATTTCACTAACATAAATGTCTCTCTTCATTGTAAAATATAAAAATTATCCCCTTCTTTCTTCAATAATTTAAGAAAAACTAAATGAAACCATAAATTCATTTCTATTAGAAAAAAAAATCCTTTACCATTTTATTTGAATATTGAACCAACCAAAAATCTACAAGGATCTATTGGAGCAACTGAGAGGATTCCAATATTATATTAGAAAACCAATTGAATCATAAATCGAATAAATAAGAGATTTAAAAATTCAAACAATTGAATGAGAATGTTTTTCAAAGATAACTAATGAAACTCTAACGAAAAAAGTATTTATCGCAAAGTGAAATTTCATAGGGTTTTTGCTGCAAATGGAATTTTAGGAATATTTGTGAGTGACCCATATTATATGGGGTCTGTGACTCTGTACTTTACCCAAAAGAATGCTATGAGTCTTTCAATTCATCAACTTCAGTTGTTTTCAAAAGTCCTCTTGGTCATCATGAGCTGATTGTTTTTTTTTTTTTTTTTTTTTGGGGGGGGGGGAATTGTCTAAAACTCACCATGAGTTTTCAGCATTTCTCTTAAATTCACCATAACTTTTCAAAATGTCTAAAACTCACCATGTCACTAACTTGATGTTAAATAGACTAACAGGTGTTAATATATTATCATTTTAAACTTCATAGAAAATATAAAATATATACAAAATAAATTAACGGGTGTTAATATATTACCATTTTAATATTTAGATATAAAGAAAGGAAAAAGTTCAACAAAATATTTTCAAATATAAAATACATAAAAACATAGAAATTACAAAAAAATATAAAAAATTATAGAAATTGCAAACAAAATTAAAAATTATTTTCAAATTATAGAAACTATAGAAATTGAAAAACAAAATCAAAAAATAAAAATTGTAGAAAAAACACAAAAAATTATAGAAAACATAGAAATTGTAAATAAATAACAAAAATACAGGAAAATTTATAGATTGTAGAAAATAGAAAAATATAAAAAAACAGAAATTATAAAAAACATTTGAAATTATAACATAATACTAAAAATGCAAAAATAAACAAGAAAATTGTACAATAAAAAAGACCATTTTTCCTCTAACTCACCATTAAAGGGTAATGGTGCACTAAGGGAAGGTGAGTTTTGGGAAATAAAAACTTAGTGATATGGTTAGTTTTAGACATTTTTGAAAAGTTGGGATGAGTTATGTTGAAAACTATGGTGAGTTTTAGACAATTCCCTTGTTTTTTTTTTATTGTTTTTACAATTTTACCATATTGCGCAGAAGGGAAAGCCAATTTTACCAAATTTACCATATTGTATAGTCGGTTTCTACTTTTTGATGAAGAAGAAAAACAGCTAAAGCTAACAAGGGATCAAGTAGATGTCTCGACAAGAGAGTCGGGAAAACGATACCAAGCGTCACCATTTGAAGCCCGACAAAGAATCCAGGTTTAGTCTTCTCTTCTAATCCATCTCCTCTAGTATTTCTGTCAATACTGGAATGAAATCGATTATATGCCCTTGTGTTGTTTTGGACTATTTCTTATAACCTTATACTGCAATAATAAGGATCAACTGGAAGGATTCGCTAATGGTATAGCTTCAGAGTTCCACACTTCCACTCCTCTCTCTCTCTCACACACATACATACACAAACACAAACAGAAAAAGAGAGTCAAAGGCAATGGACGATCACAATAGATAGCATTAGCCGATTCTCATTCAAGTAGCGAGGATATTCCCTATCTCTTAACAAGACGACTATCTGGTGTCCTGTGAGAAGAGCTATAACCTCGGCTTTGGTGGAGCCGTGGAGTAGGCCTGGGCAGTGGCTTAGTGGTTCTAGTAAAAACTTAAGCAATGCTCTCATCCCGACCAAGGAGGAAACAACTGACCCTGGTTCTACCCAGGTTCCAAAAAGAACTTCATCCGGGGACCCAGAGAGGATTCGAGAATCTCGGTTGGGTTCTTTCTAAGTAACTATAAATTAATCTTTTTAACTCTTTGGCTTCCAAAATCCACGAATTATTTGAAGAGAGCATTCTTAGGTTCTTTTAACCCTAATTTTTAATTCTCCTATTTAGTTATTTTATTTTCTTGTTGCTTCAGATTCCATTTTGTCTGAAACTTTTCTTTTCGTGTGGATCAAACATGAGAGAAAGTAGCTTTGTATGCTTAGCTTCTTGGTTGGAGTATTTTGTGGGAGTCAGAGGGATGATTATGCTTCTCCCTAAGTAGCATTACAAACAAAAGTTGAAGGAAAATAGTTTGAGACTTGGCGTTTATAACAATATAACATCATTTATTTGGAGAAAAAAAAAGGATGTTCTAATTACTTTTTACTAGTAATTCCTAACCCAATTGTGTTCTAAGAGGCCACCTTTTCTGGTGGGATCTACTGGGTCATCACATTTTGGCATCAAAGTGCACTGTATGCTCTCAATATGGTACTCTTTTTGTTTGGATGACATTTAGGATACAATTCCTAAAGCAAAGTATGAATTATCTTCAACATGAGTGGAGGCACCGTTACTTCAGGAAAGCAGTGAATTTCACATAAGTTATTTATTTTTATCTTGTTCTGCTTAATAAGTTATCGAGTTTATATCTATATCTATCTATCTATCTATCTATCTATCTATATATATATATATAACCTTTTTAATCAATTTTACTTTGATCCAATGTAAAACTACATGAATTAGCTATCCTATGATTGCTTATTTTCTACAATACCCGGATACCCGCACAAAGGTGCTGTTTTACAAAATTCCTTTTCTGTTCCTTTAGCTATATATTTTTCCTTTTAATTAATTTTACTTTGATTAAATGCAAAACTACATGAAATAGCTATCTTATGGCTGCTTATTTTCCATGATACCTGGATACCTGCACAAAGGTGCTGTTACATGTAGGATACTTCATTTTTTTTTTTGGTAAGTCAAATGCCCTTTCTAGCCATGTACATGTTGTATTTAAGTAACTAGCTTATTTTAGTTAAATGATTGCAATTTTATTGACTAGTTGAGGATCTCCCTCCTCCCTATTCCCAATTTTAATTAATATTGATGTCTAAGGGATGCCTCACAATGACCATTTTCACTACCTTGGTAGTAAGCTATGGTATGGAAGAGATTGAGTAGGATTTTGCTTATTGAGGGAGCACATTTTCTCATAGAATTGGAACAGGTTGGATTTCAGGGTGATGCTAATTTGATGCATAGTAGTTTAATTGAAAGTAAAACATATAAGATAGTTATAAGACAGGAAAATATTGTGTGTAACAAGTATAGAGCAATAGGAAATAACATATCAGCAAATAAGTTAGCGAGAAGTCTGATATGAGACTGAAATAGATGAGTGGTAAAAATAGAATTAGGAATTTGTGTATGGAAAGTCAGAAGCAGTCCAAATAGGTCACTAAAAGAGGGACACTAGACCTAAATTGGTTTTGTTCATGGGTATAGAAGATTACCTATTGCACTGATAAGGATGACTTGATGCAAATTGAGGTTCTTAGAAGAGACAGTGAGAGACCAAATGTACATGGTTGGAGTACCAAGATAAGCTATAAGGAGGAGATGGGGTTCTAGTAAGGAGCAGATCTTTTGTTGGTAGCTGGGGATTGTGTTTTTAGATTTGGGGTCACATGCTTTTGTTCCTTCTGTGAATAGCCGAATAGGGTATACTGGACTTTCCCTTATAAGATCAACTGTAGGGAGGAGGACATGCTGGGAAAGGTAGAAGAGAAATTTCCAGCCAGAAGTTGAATCTTGCAGAGAGAGTGCAAGGCTAGGTGAAACCATGGAACTTGAAAAGCGGATTCCTGTGGAGGGAGTGGTTTGATAGGTTGGCAAAGGTAACAAGGTTCTTAGGCTTATTCTTTTTTGGTGGGTGAGTGGTTTTCTCAATCAATCTTTGAACAGTTGGAAGAATGGGATAGAGAATTCTTGGTGGCTGATAAAGAAAGGAGTTCATTGGGTGATAGTAATGTCTATTAATAAACAGATTTCCAATTCTAGAGAAGATTGGAATCTCTTAAAGTGGGACATAGTGGAACTGGTAACTTATAGAGGAAGGGGGTCTAGGAAGTTGCAGAGAGGGTTCACTGAAGGATCCAAATGAAGGGGCAGAAGGGCAGAGACAAACCTTAGGTCTATCCAAGGATATTGTTTGGTATTTTGGAGGGTGATGGTGGTGGGCTTGGGGGTCTTTTGTTTGGTTATAGTGTTGGTGGGTTGATTTTCTGAATTGGTTGTATCATGTGTAGTTGGTGTTATTTTTTTTGTTTGACAGGCGGAGTGTTTGGTTTGAGTTTTGATTGTTGAGTTATAGAGCTTATTGTAGTAGGGTGTGGATTCTTTTTACTGCTGCTCTTTCTTTCTCGTTTTCCGATTTGCTGGCTTCTCTCTTTGTACTTTTGTCTGGATGACAGATCTCATGTATATCTTGTATTCCTTTTATCTTTTCTCCATATATATTTTAATTTATTATCAAGGGAAGGGACTTGAAATCATGTGGCCGACCCAAGATGGTATAAGGCTTTGTTTATTTTAGTAGAGTGGGTTCAAATTGCAATGTTGTCATTTAGGGAAAGCATATATTTAGCTAGAGTTCCTTTAGCACTGAGTGTTTCTAATTTGTATGGGAAATCTCAAAGGTACTGACAACTTTTTAACTGATATTTTTTTATCATTAAAGCATGTCTCCTTTTAGTTCCTTACTGTAATATGTATGGACTTTGTTTGATTCTAGTCCAAAGAGACCAAGAAGAGATGAGAAACTAGCTTCAGAGAGAACATCAAGTGATCGTAATTTGGACATCAGAAGCCATACTGATTGGGATCAAAAGCGTTGCAGGCGGTTGGAAGATGCTATACAACTTATGTCTCCACTAGCACCCAAGTTGAAGGGTGGGGCTGCTGACAATGAATTTGACAAGAAGACAAATGGATTGCATGATGGCATGAACTGTTCATTCAATCCAACTGAAGTTCCTTTGCCTCATCCTCGGTCTTACTTTCAGGTTTTCTCCCCACAGATCGTAAATTATACCTCATTCATAGTTCTTTTAAATGCCCTTTTTGTAGCCAACCAGTTCAACTTTTACAAGGAGCACTTTATACTTTAAACTTGCTAGCCACCTACAATGATGCAACACGTTACTTATATCTGGTTACCGCAATTAGTGCATATTTGTATTTTTTATTGATTGGTAACTTGAACTTTATTGAATTAATGCATATTTCTGTTACCATATATGAAAGAGAAAGTTTCAGTCCCTCTAACTACCAAAATTCTTTTGGGTAAAATCCTTGCAACACATCCTATTTCCTTTTGTGTTCCTACATATGTGCCAAATTAGTAGTTAAGAAACAAACATGGTAGTATTCTATAGGAGGAATATGCATCTCTTTTTTGTTGGAAAATGAATTTCTCACAGGATATTTGATGCTGTAAGCATTTAATATAGAATATCCAACAGCTTTGCAAAGATCATATGTGCCAACCTATTGATTAGGTAGGTATACGATGTCTCTTCAGCAAACTTCCAAGTATTGATTGTATTGGTAGAATTCATAATGGGAAAACCTAAATGCATCTCTAGTTTGGATTTCTGCATGTTGATGTGGTGATGCTGCATTTGTGATAATATGAATTATCTGTTCTATAAATTGATAATTCATGAGGCAAAAAGATGATGTAATTTAACACTCCTGAAATTAAGAAGTTTGAAATGTCCATGATGGTTTAATGTAAGCAGAAAAGGGATGTATACTAAAAGTTTTTCTTTCAACTCAACTCAGTGGAGCCTTATCCCAATAATATTGATTGGCAGAATTTCCTTGTTTGATATTTTCCTCAAACATTTCAATACTAAAAAGCTATTATCTACTGTAAATCAGATAAGTACCACATTGACATGTACTGGAGTTTGACCTTAGAGACGTGCATTTTAAAACCATTGATGAAATAGCATACAAGAGATCCATAATTCTAAAATGACAGAAGGTTTACATTGCTAGGTTAAATTCAACATGGTTGTTTGTATCCAAAGTTTACTTAATTTGATGCATAACTGACAGATACCTGTGTTAGGTTGGATACTTGGTTGTTATTCTCTGTGTAGAAAGTAGAAACCCGTTTTTTTCCTGGCCTGATGTAGTGGGATTCTTGTTAGGATCTGTGCCTTCAAGTGCCTCTATGTGTATAACAATCTTAGGCCTGCCTATGCATGTTTTAATACAGCAGAATGAGCATGGTAGTGCTGGGCAAGGTGGTCAAAGCTTCAGCTGCAGACAAATTGCTGGTATGTTTCCTTCTTTTTCTTCAAAATTTGTGGTTATTTCATTGATTTCCACATTTTTTAAGAGAGAAGCAGTGAAAACTTCAATTATAAAATTATGTATGAATATGCACTGTGTTTATGCTTGGTCATCAAATGCATCGAACTGAGGGTTATTTCTTATAGGAAAACACTAAAATATTAACTTTATTGTATGTATATAGTTAGTAATAAAAGGAAGAGATTTATTGGTCAAAAGCAAAAAGAAAGGAAAAAGGTGGATGTACTTGCACGTGTGCAAGTAAAGGTAAAGATATAATTTAACAATATGTTATCAAATTTAACTTGCACCAAAACCAAGGCAAGTATCTGCTGTATGTATGTATTTTTAGAGTACTTGGCTACCTGCCAACAGATTCAAGGCTTCTTTTTTGGGGGGTATCTCTTAAATTTATGCATCCAAATTTGGACCTAATGAGGGTTGACTTTGGTGGGTATGCAGGTACTTGGGTGCAGTTGGCATGGAAAAATAGTGTTGGAAGCCAACTTCCCATAATTTGATCCCTTACGCTTTAACTGTACTTCCATTATTCCTTGCCTACACAACTAGAAGAATTCTGGTTGCTGTAGTGTAATTAGAACCAGGAATGTTGCCTTGTTTTTCTTGTTCCTTATCTTGTCATCCTAACTCTTCTCTTCAGAACGTGGATGGTGGAGAGATCCAAAGGAACAATTCAGCTATAGGGAAGAAGACAAGGCTGGACAATATGACAATCCGCACAAAGACAAGAACATCCAAGCTAAAGGAGAAGACAAGAGTGTTTGGCACCACAATGGGTCCTTGTACCCAGAGCCAGAGGCACCCCCACAGGCAAAGAAAAGACCTACATTTCGGGAGAAGAAGATTCCATTGGATTCCAGATCAGGGGGCATAACACCAGCCAATCCTGTTAAGCCTAGCAATCCTGAACAGAGAGGAGATGATAAGGGAAGGATAGGCCATCGTTCCCACGTTGCAGACAGACACCAGAAACCATTCACAGGAGGGAAGGCTCTACCATACAAGGGAGAGGTACAGAAGTCTGGCCTTCCTCCAAGAGAGAAGTTTAACAGTTGCTCTGGTTTTAGGAGAACAGACAGATTTAGTGGTAGGCATGGTGAAAGAAACCAGTATCGACATAATACTTCCCGCATGGAGAAATGGAAGCATGACCTATTTGATGAAGCCAATAGGAGTCCTACGCCTAAGAATGAAGAACAGATTGCTGAAGTGGAAGCTCTGTTAACTTTGTAGCAATGCTGTTGCTGAGAACCCGGTTCCTCGGCTATTGTTACATTGCTGTTGTGCTTTTGACTTTGTACTTGTATTTCTTTTTAATGTTTCTGTGTAGCCCGTCCCTTTCTTTTCCCCAATATCTATAAGACGGGGTTTTACGGAAGAAGATTCTTTTCTCTGCTTTTTGTTTGGTGGGATATGGGTCTTGTTTAGTCACCTTGAAATTAGTACAGGGGTTGTAATGGCCTTTTTGCTATTACAGTAACTGCAAGGATCGACAATTCCAGATGTTGGCATTCTGGTCGGCAAATGTAACAGATAGGGGTGTCCACGGTTGGGTTAACCGAGGCACTTTTTTGTAAATTGAACCAGTGGTAGTGGTTTTCTAGTTCTTCGAACCCAAACTGAACTGGTACCACCGGTTAACTGGTCAATCGGTTTCGGTTTTTGACCGGTTTGATTTTTTGGTTTTTTAGTTTTTTATATTTATAATATATTATACAAATATATATATATATATCATATTAGAAATATTTGAAAAATATATAATATATTTATAAGTAGATCATTATAAATATAATATAAGTATATATTTATATATATATAATGAATATATATTTATATATAATACATAGAAAATATGACATATGTTATAAATATATATAAAATATACATAAAAATATATATACCGGTTGGTTTGGTTAACCATTGGTTTTTTTGTAGGTTAACCAAAAATCGAACTGATCTTTTGGTTTTTCAAAAATCCCAAATTAAAACCGAACTGATCGATTTGTTTAATTGCATTTTGCGATTTGATTTTTTTGATTCGGTTCGGTTTTTCGATTTTTCATGGACACCCTTAATAACAGACATTTATTGGTCTGGTTAAAAGCTTGTTCCGTATCTGGTGATTATTGGTTATGGTTCATCTGTCTCACTTTTTTAAGAATTTGTCCAGCCGGAGCAGCCCTGATTAAAGTTTATGGAGCAAAATCATATTCGGTTTCCTTTTCATGTGATAGTCAATTAGTCATCTTGTTGCCAGTCTTTTTTCTTTTTCTATAAAAAGACCTAATCCCCTGGCGTTTGTTTGGGAGGGCTGAATCGAAGATTCAGTGCCGCTGGTTCAGCTGCAAATACTCTGAATAAGCTATTCAAAGATGATTGACTGACTGACTGATTGATAGTTGATTTGGGTTTTCTTGATTTTTCACGAAACATGTTTATAGGCTGTCCATGTGAGGTTTATTTTAGAAAGCTAGACGCCACTACTTCATCCCCCAAAGGTTTAAAATGTTATTAAGTGGCCGATACGTATCTGATCGTGGCCTTTCTAGTATGTTCCTATAAGGAGTATTTCGGGTCAGAACATGGTTCAAAGGGTAGTTAAGTCTTAAATTGACCCCTCTGAACTAGATTTAAAAAAAAAAATACAAAAAAGAACACCAATACAAGCTGATACGTCAGGCTGATATGTCAATACCGCATTGAGATGTTCTCTGCTTTCTTACATTCCTGAAATTAAGCCTTGATGAATCTCTATGCTTTGTTGGAGATCCGTGAGCGAATTCGACTTCTTAGTTCTTTAAGCCTTCCTCCACCAGCCAAAATGTGTATCTTTGCAGGCCAATTGGTTTCTTTCAGGCTCTATCTCCATAACATCAAATATACTCCATCCTAGACCCACAAGCCTCCCGTCATTGCTGTCCACCTAAATCTCTTTCATTAATAAAGAGTAAAGAACCTTGTGTCCCATCTCATAAACCGCTGCCAAATTGCAAGTTATATGCGTGGGAATTTTGGCATCAGCGCCATTTTTTTTTTCATGAAAAATTAATGGACCATCTTAACACATGATGACCTTCCAGATAGTCGGTCATCAATGATAGTCAGTCGCACACGTGAGAAGTAGTTGCTTCCTGTGCGCACAGTCAGATTGTCAGAAGCCCAGGGTGATTTTCTGGGGCGAGTACTTTGACAGTCAAGTTAGATAAATGTGAAGATAAGGTAAGTACAAAAATGTGTGGACAGTGAAAGTGTAGTTAAGTTAAAAGAGTAAATGTATACCTGATTATAGCGAAAAAATTGGTTAGAGACATAAAGAGATTGTTAGGCCGACGAAGTGGTTGCAGAGCTGAGGAAATTGGCTTCAGTGTTCAAACTACAAAATACAAACGATGTGAACATAATCTTGTGAGCACTGAAACGGGAGGTGCACACGCCAAGAATTGGTGCCATATGTCTGGTGTCAATAGGTGCTCAATTCAGGGCATCTCTGTACAGTTGTTTATGAGTAACTATGAATAGATTAGCACAGATTCAGATCCCAAGAAATGTTGGGTAAGTTACATACAAGAAACTTTCTTCCAAATTTGTGTGTCAAAATGGGTTTACCAACAACAATAATAACAAGTTAATAATTCAGCCAAGTAACAGAAAAACATATAACAATCACCACACAATAGTATACCGGAATTTTTATGTGAAAAACTCCAAAATCGGGGAAAAACCACGGGACCTATGGTCTGTAAAAGTCTTTCACTAATTCAGAAATTAATGGGTACAATAGTCTTCTCTAATTGCAACTAGAGGCTTACAAATATTAAGGAAATAATCATAGGTTCACAAGAACAGCATTAACATCACCAAATGAAAGGTGGATGCAACACAAACATAAGTTTAGATCTCATCAAGTTGCTGTAAACTGAGAAGTAGAAAAGAGGAAGAAGAATCACCAAATCTGAACTGGAGTGGGATTCTTAACTTTAACACTTAATATCATTAAGAACGGGCTTGAAAGACACCTCCAAACTTGATCTTGAATGGAACAAGAGCCAGTTCTTTCCTCTTCTTCACAAAACTCAAAGAACCAAGAAAAAACTTTCTTTTTTTTAGTTCTGTAATTTTTTTTTCTCCTTCTTTGTCCTTCTCCGTTCCGTGGTTACTAGTTTGACGCCACCAAAAAACCAAGACCGAATAATGTGGTAACCCACTATTCGGCTCCCTTTTCTTTAGGGAGTAAACGAAGGTGGGATGGGCCCCTCCATATGGGCTGGACATACACCTCAAGTGCATACAGACATACACCTCAATCAGGGATTTCCAAGAAGAGACAGACGTCTTTTAAGTTGAGACCATTCTCCCTTTCCAAAAAAACCTCAAGTGCATCTTCCATGTTGAATTCAGAATACATTTCTATCATTGCACAGAGGATAAAACGAATTGAATTTAAACCCGCCTTAACTACTGCAAGGCCATGGAGTAATGGCAATTGGCTACGAAGAGAGTAAAACTATCAAGTTTCTCTCTTGATTACCCGACCCTTTTTCAAAGTGCAGTATGCAATGTAAGCAACCATTCTATAAAAACCCAGGGGTGAGCGACTTGCATGGGAGATGGGACCCGGCTTAGATCGTTCAGCCAGTAAATCATAAAAAACCAGAATCTGGAAAGCTAATTGGTCACATGTTCACCTGTTCAACCGCTGGTCATCTCCGAATCCGACAAAAATGATTGAGACATCATGAGCGAAAATAGATAGAAATGGTCTTTAGACAGCGCTTCTCAGTTCTCACCGACATTTTATCGAAAATGCGGCAGACTCAAATCTCTCTCGTTGTATTTGGCATAGAATTTAAAAAGGTGGTTCTGCAATTATAAGCAGAAGCAGTCCAACTCCCAACCCCACGAATGAAATGACAAACCCTCCCGTTTTGATACTGTTGACGAGAGGATTGAACGGCCAATATTCAAGAGATGATGGTGTTGCAGTTGCGCTACGTAGAGGCAGAGGGAGCCCAGTACAACTCCCTTCACCTAACACATATCTTCTCCTCATGATTGCTATTTGAACCGATACTATTATAGTCGCCCTTTATATAAGAAAATGAAAATCAGCTCGTTTTCGTTTTTAGTGGGTGGGTGATCACGGTGTTGTTCTGGGCGAGGCTAAGTGGGCCGTCCATCAAACAATGAAGAGAAGAGGAATTATGATTTTTTATGGTGCTACGTGGTATTATGCAATACCAAGCATTTTTTTTCTTTTCTATTTTTTCTGCAGTTCTTTTTATTTATTTCTGTTTTTGGTAAGCAATTCTTTTTTCTTTTTAACTTGTGCCATTCCTTTATGGGGGAATGAATTCAAATACATTATGATCTCCCGGTCGAAAATTTTCCCAGATGAAGATGGGACTGATGGGTGAATATCTGCTTTTTAGCAAAAAACAAAAAAAGCAATTGCTTTCAATCATTTCAACAGAGTTTTCTACCAAAACAAAGTTCATCAACAAAGGTAGGCTGAGGATGGGCCATATACTAACTATGATTTTCGAATCAGGATAATCTATTGGTCTACATTCGTTCAATAATTGCAGGTTTTTTCCTTCTTATGGAAAGTATATATTATTTTTTTAAAGAAAAAAAGGGTTACATCAGAAGAGTTACATCAGAAGCAAAAAACACTGATTGGCTTTTTCAATCGGGTTTGTTTTGAATGCCTACACAGCAGGGGTAGCCATCCCCCAACGCAGGTGCGGGATTCGATTTCAAGTCTATGCTATGACAAGCAGTAGACCTTACCAACCTATTGCTTGATACCTTGTTAAGACTGAAAAATTGGTTCAACTATTTTTTTTTTACTGTTTTTGCTTGGTTTTCAAGTGGACTGTTTGGCGAAAATCATTCATGCAACTAGTTCCCGTTTTACCTAAGGTTGCAAGTTGGGCTGAGTTGGCTCGAACTCAATCTGAAAATGATGGGTTGGGTTGTGTATGAGGTTTTAAGGGATGGAAAGAAGGTTGGGTTGGACCCAACCCAAGCCCAACCCAATCCGAAATTGACTTTGGATTTAGTTGGATTGGGTTAGGGTAAAAGGAATTTAGTTAGGGTTAGGGTTAGGATTGGGGGTTTAGAACTTAAGGTTGGGCTAGGATTGGCCTCAACCCGACCTAACCTGACCCGACTTGCAGCCCTAGTTTCACCCTTAACCCATTTTTTGACTAAAAACTGCTGACTTGATTAATGCCCTGTTGATTCGGGTGGTTGAAATGTCAACCCATTCAACCCAGACAACAAAATTTTGGCTGTTTTATTTATTTATTTATTTATTTATTTTTTAAATTAGAACGAACTATCCATTTAAACTGAACAGTCAAACTGCTAACCGAAAAACTGATGGCCAAAACAGTTCTGGCTCCAGATCGATTTTTAAAATATTTCTGTTTTAGACTCCAGCGAATTTAGGCCAACCTCTTTTTTTTG